GAGACTTTTATGGTTGGCTTCGGAAGCTCCTAGCTTTTAGCAGCTATTGCATTAATGTTAGTCGATTTTAGGTGCTCGCTTTGTTGTAATGCAGTCTCACCCTTCGCAGTGAATTCTGTCTGCTGGGCACCGCATGACTACGGGCTGATCCTGGCCTGCGGGAGCTCTGATGGGGCCATCTCGTTGCTGAGCTACACGGGTGACGGGCAGTGGGAAGTCAAAAAGATCAGCAATGCGCACACGGTAAGTCCGTTCCTTTGGAGCAGGACAGAGCTCTTGGAGCTACGGAGAAGCACCAAGCTGATGCCTCAAAGAACCTGTAGACTAGATTAATAAAATACAACGAAATGATGTGAAACACTTTCCAGAATCAAGAATAACCTGTTTTAACTTAACCCAGAGTGGGAAGGTATACTTTGTAGTCACTAAAATGAAGTGGAAAACAGGACATGAAGGTTATTAAACAGCACTGATAATACTTGTTTATTAAGCATTATTGGTAAAGACAGTGCTGGAAGTTAGCTGGTAGGACATGGCTCTGGTACTAAGAACACCTGTACAAACTGACTGAATAAACTGAAGCTGGAGAAACTGCAGAACTCATGATTTTCCCAAAATAGTAGGGATTTTTGCTTAAGCAGAATGTGATAAGCTAATGGCAGTGGCTTTCAATAAAAGGAAATTGGGCTCCAGACCCACAGGTTCCTTCCACTCCTGCATTCCTAAATCTTAGCAACTGTGTATGTCTTGTCTTTTCAGTTTATATATCTGTCTCCACTGTTTGCATATCCAAGATGATACTTGCACATAAAATGGTTACTTAGCTACCTAAGGCTTTCTAATAACTGCCCTGTTGAGACTAGACTCTAGCTGGATTTCTTGTTCATCTGCTATCTATCCAGCATTGTGCGAGACTCCTGTATTCCTAAGGTGGGTTTATTCCCTCCACCACCCCAATAGAGAGTGTGCTAGGTGTCCTTTGCCCCCTCAGGGGGCTTTAAGTTATTTATTTAAAGTGAGCAACTTTTAATAATGATATTTTTTCATTCAATAGATTGGATGTAATGCAGTTAGCTGGGCTCCTGCTGTTGTCCCAGGAAGCCTCATAGAACAACCGTCTGGTCAAAAACCAAACTACATCAAAAGATTTGCATCTGGTGGCTGTGACAACCTTGTCAAGATCTGGAAGTAAGTGCTCTGTTGCCAGACTGAAGAACTTCCACGACATTATGTGCTTCATAGTCTTTGAATGTCCCTGTTAGTATCTCAAGTAATATTTTTCAGCACCTCTATGCTTTCATCTTTGAATTATCGCTTTAAAAGTGAAAAAAACTTAGTGATGTGCTCTCTCTCTTATGCTTATAGCAATTTGTGTGACCCTTGCTTAATCTTATCTTGGAAGTGTCTTTCTAATTGTCTTAGATTACCACTGTCACTTGGACAGTAGCACATTTCTGTACAGCAACTGAAGATCAAATACTCTTTGCCTCTCTCACTTTCTGTCTCCTGGGAGGGATTTTGTCAATTTAAGCCATAGAGCTTTTTGGAAAAGAGTGGGAAACACTTGTGCTTCCTGTTGTCTGGGTAAACCAGGAGTCTGAAATCTACAAAAACAAAGCCTTCCAGAACAGGAGAGGAGAAATACGACGGGCTGCCGCAGTGCTTCTGACTGTATAAATGTGTTTTCAGGGAAGAAGACGGTCAGTGGAAAGAGGAGCAGAAGCTGGAGGCTCATAGTGACTGGGTTCGAGATGTAGCTTGGGCTCCATCCATAGGTTTGCCAACGAGCACCATTGCTAGCTGCTCACAGGTGAGGCTTCTGTTGGCAGGCAGAGGCAGGTTCCCAGTGCCCTCGCTTCCGTTTACTTCCTTCCCCTTTCCTCTAGTAAAGGAATAGTGAGGATAGAACTGCTGTAACACAGGTCCTTCTGGCAATCCTGTGCTATATCTGGGTCTGTGCATAAGAGCCTTCGATTCCTGTTCCTCCCAAACTCAGAAGCCCAATGAGAGCACTTCTGGACAAGGCTTGTGCGTGTGTGGCTCTGTACCAAAGACTTCTTGAAATCCTGAGCAGGATGGTCTCCCTATGAGGAAGACCTTCAAACTAAAGTTGTATTTTGATGTCTCTGGATCAAATTCCTTGAACTTCCAGCTAAAAATTCTGGTTTTTTAGTAACTAGCATTCTTAAATCAGCTCGGATGTCCTCAACCTTCATATTGACTGTAGTGTTGCTGCTGCTAATAATTCTGTAAATGCTTTTTTTTTTTTTTAATAGCAAGACGACTACTCAGTAAGCTGCTAACTTGCTGTCGTGGCTGAAAAGCAAATCTCATTCTGGGAAAAAAATTTCAGCTGATACATATGTATTTTGGGAGCTCTTCTATGGTGTTTGCAAGTCTTCTTTTGTGTGTAGGTTTTTTCTCACCAGAGTGCTGTACTCTTATCTTGCTTATAGCTACAGTACGAAAACAGCTGCTTTGCTGTGTTGAGCAAAACTGCCTGTAACCACAGCTAGGGTTCGTGTTGGAGCTGTGATTTGGAAAGGTAGCTGTAAGTGCAGTCAAGGTTGGCTTTTCTGGGTTGTAACTAGTGGCCCAACCAAGCCGGTCTGCTTGCTTTTCTAGGATGGCAGAGTATTTATCTGGACTTGCGATGATGCCTCTGGAAATTCATGGTCACCAAAGTTGCTGCACAAGTTCAACGATGTTGTCTGGCATGTGAGTTGGTCCATTACTGCAAATATTCTTGCAGTGTCTGGAGGAGACAATAAAGTGAGTACTGCTGCCTTGGCTTTCGCTCTCGCATGCCACATTTTCAGAAGCGCTGAGATGAGATGGGCTGTTGTTGCTTTTGTTTAAGACAAAGAGTATTGTAGATTCTCCTTTGCTGCAATGGTGAAATTTTTTCTTTTGACTTATCAAGCGGGGAGGAAGACCTTTGGCAAACTACATGCACTGCATTCTCAGTCCTTACTGGGGATTAGAAACACAGGCTTGACTTTATGTTTTAGGGTACTAACAGCAGCATTCACATACTCTCCCTTTACCACTGGATGATTGTACACCAACAAATAACTCAGAACAATGCTGCAGCACTTGACTTCTGTATCTGTAGACTGTCACTGAGCTAGTGACATGATGGCTGCAAGGAAATGAGAAGCTGAGAATGTGTTAAGGCTGAAACTTCTTCCTGATCTGTTTTTGAGGTCACGCTATGGAAGGAATCCGTGGACGGGCTGTGGGCATGTATCAGCGATGTCAACAAGGGCCAAGGAGGAGTGTCTGCCGTTACGGAGGGGCAGCAGAACGAGCAGTGATGCAACAAGTGATCACTGTGCCTGACTTGCAATGCTTCTTGAACCAGACGAGAACTGATTTTATCTAAACTGGACATGAACATGGGAAACAACAATTATCCAATTTTATGGGAACCCTCTAACTATTACTGGGAGGCTACAATATGTTGATAATTAGCCTTAATTGACATTCCCTCAAATTTAAGGTAAAGAGCTTAGCAAAGTACTGTGCCTTATACTACTCCTTGATGCTGCAGAAATTGTACCCCGCTTTTCTGGTTTAGCGATCAAATTTAATTGGATGTGCTGTGGCCAGACTTCAGGCACTCGAGTAGGAACAGGAGGAGGCGATCGGTGGTGAGAGGGGAACTCCTTTGTGCAAGGGGGACAAATACTCTGTCCCTTCAAAGGCCAGAACTTTGTTTCAGGTGAGGGGAAGGGCTGGTGGAGTGCGTGGTGTTAGGTGATAGCATGCTAGCTAGCCCTTCCAGTAGTGGTGAAGTGGCACATAGATCTTCCTGAAAATAACGTGCTGGGATATGTGAAAGTCTCTGTGCTTTCCCAAAGATGAAAAGGAGTAGTGGAATGCATATGTCTTTTGCTTTAAAATGATCTCAAAGTTGGTTATTTAACCAACATCAATAAATCAAACCATAATTTGAAGGTTGGGGTTTTTTTTTTAGCCACACTTCTGTACTGTACCTCAGGTGTTTTTGTTGAGATACCAACAGAATAAAGTGTTATTGGTTAAAGCCTGGTGTGTGCTATATTTAATAATCTTCTCACAGGGTCCTTGTCAAGGCTGTGTGCAGTCTGCCTTCAGTGACACTGCAGTCACCTTGTCCTCTCATCCCCGCGGTTCGCTTTGCAGTGGCTGGGAAGGGGTCGCTCCACTAGTGACCAACGTGCAAGAGAACAACGTTTGCCTCTGGTTAAGCTGTTACGTACTGTTGTGCTTCAGGCACGTGTGTTAGGCTCGAACAAACCACGTTTCAGTACACCCTCAGCTAAAAGTGAAGCACTCCTCTAAGAGGGAAAGTACTTAACAGGTCACATTTTCCCTTTATTCTTCAGTTGCACTGAAGCAACACAAGAGAACAATTCACAGCCTTCCTCCTTCTCCAAGGTAGTGATTCCTAGGCACGCTCTTCGTTTTAGCATAGCCAAGATAATATACCTCCTTTTCTGGAAAAACAAACTGCATTTTCTGATAGTTATCTATACTAGCCAAATAATACCCTGGTTGCTCTCAGAGACACATACATGAATTATCTTTCTGTGTACCAACAGGATTATGCACCGTTCCTGTTCTCGTTTAAATGCACTGTAGCCTTACCCCCCAAAAAATGAATCAGCTCACCTAGAAATCAGCATTATGTTCAAGTGGTTACTTTTCAAATTATTCAGCAAAGCACTATTTTCTTTCAAGCTGTTTTCCATTTCGACTAAGATCATAATCACAACTGCTCAGCTGAGCAGGCAGCCTTTCGTTCCCAGGGCCGTGCCCGCTGCTGCTTGATACGGAGTACCTGGGCGTTAAGAGGGTTTTGGGTTGGCTTTAACTGCTGTGGAAACTATACAGGCTTGAAATCAAGCACATTACCTCCAATAAAAAGGTTCAAAAATGAAGCCTCATTCTTAGCTTTTACCACATTTTCTGAGGAAAAAGGGCACTAGCTCCTTAAGTACAAAAGTTTCAGTACTTAGTTGTTGCCTGTGGGGTATTAGGTTCCACAATTCACCATATTAAAAGTTATCCTTAATTTTTATTAGTTTTAGTATTTAAGAATTCAAACCTATGTAGCAGCAAGGCTCAGTTCAGCCTGTTACCCACTCAAGAGGAAGTGTATTAAAATGGTTTCAAATAATGATCAAAGTATCCCTAACAAAATTGATAAAAGATTATTCAAGAGTTACACAGTGTATTCGTTGCAAATACAAGCACTGCGTGAAAGATTTTCAGTTGCTCTTGAGAATAAGCTTCTGGTTTTGGCTCTCTAACCCCCTCCTTCTCATACTTGGGGTCAGGATTGGGGAAAAGAGGAAAAAAATACTCAACCTAAGTTTCACACTGAAGAACTTAAAATTGCTACTTGGTTTGGTTAACACCAACGTGGTCTCTCCTGTGCCCACGGTGCACCATAGTTGTTCTTTTTCACTGTCTGGCCTAAGGAGAGAAGTTTGTGTCTTGTGATGACTCAAAGGAGTTTCCACATAAGAAATGAAGTTCTGTCATTCAATCTGCATTGTTTTCTGGAGTTTCTGGCATGTCTCCCAGTGATACACCAGCAACGAGGCTGTCGTTAACAGCAAACGTGGTCACTTGAAGTTTGGAAAGCAAGCAAAGCCCACTGTTCTGTACAACAGCCTGTCTAAATTCATACCCTGCACTTCTGTTTTCCTCACTACTTTGGAGCACTGACAGGCCTTAATAAAGCAGAAGATGCTGATCCAAAGACCAAGCTCCTGGAAGTTACAGGGGACACATCTCCCTGTCCTGTTGCGAATCCAGAAGTAGCTTGATTCTGGGGCCAGCCCCGAACAAAACACAAGTTTGCTATGAAAAACGCAGGGGGCTTCTGCTTCCTTCCTGTTTCTGGTGGGATCCAGCAGCTCTGCCTGCTTGCTTTGTGCTATCGAATGTCCTTATTAACAAGCCCTCAGATAAAAGCCAAGATGAAGATGAACTTATCAGAGTTTCTCACCTAGCTTTGTTGCTAGAGGGGTTTTTGACCCACCACCTCCACTCATTCTCACTCCCTTACCACAGTTGCTTCCTCAGTTTTACCAATTTAGTTGATACCAAACCCCTCGAAGAAGTGATTTTCTTTCAATAGTCAGATCATTTCACAGATCTGATTTATAGCGTGACTGCTCAATGTTTGAAAGAATCAGCCAGAAAGCTGCAACGTGAGACACAAAGAACCAAGCTCTTAAATCATGTTTGCAGAAGAAAACAAAACAGAACTGCATTTCCAAATCAAACTAGTTTTCCCACTCCACAGATGTGCTAAAGATTGAGCCTTACCTGGCGAGAGGGCAGTTAAGACAGTTATAAACGCCTCCATGTGACATTTTCTCCAACAGCAAGTCTGATGGAACTGAATTCCTCCTCATTTTCCCGTCTTCACACATTTCCTACGCCTTCCTCAATCCTATTACTGGAAGTTTGTGGGGCTGCAGTGCAAAAGGGATCCTGCAAATTGGCCCTGTTGTTCAAGTTAAAGTAGAATACAAGCAACAGAAGTTGCACATTTCTCATTCTTCATCGTATCTTCTTTCTTTTCTCCTGCTCTTCATGGGATTTTTGTGGACCCTCAGCCATTGCTATGAATCTTCACTGGAGTTTTAAAAATTCTGTTTTCAGAGTAGTGGAAGGAGTTTCCTAGGTATCGTTTTCAGTTTGTCTTGAAGCAGAAGACAACAAAATCTGATAAACCAGAACGTGGGACAATACAAAAGAGAGGGAATGTGCTTGAAGCAAGAAGGAGAAACATGGCTGTCACCACAGGTCAGGAGTACAGCTTGACTTCTCCGGTTCTGTTACACCGCCTCGGATAATGAAAAGGGTTTGGGGATTTTCCTTTTTGAAAAATACATGTTACAGCTATTAATTAATTTTTAAAAGGAACAATGTTAATGCCACAGGAAAAAAAGGAAACTCTCACTTCACAATTTCATTATACATAAAAACAAAGGCAGCAACGGATCTATGCACTGTTTTCACTTTTTTGTTGATTTTATTATCTTACAAGCAGGCCAAGTTTCCAAGGAATTTAAACACATATCAGATTCCATTTCCAGGAATCTCGCAGCACAGAACAAATATTCCACGCAATATATAAAGTGCATCAGAAAGCAGCAGTTTGGTGGAGCCACGAAACGAACCAGGTAAAGTTTCCCGGCGTTTCCAGCCTTCGCCGGTTTTCCTGGGTAATTTGTCTCCACTAACCTGTCTACCACATCTTAGTTACAGAAGAAAACGCTGCAAGCAATGATCTCTTTTGGACAGAATATTTTTACCTTTAGCATATAAAAATTATGTTTGCTTTATACATCCATCTCTAGAAATAATTTCAGGTCATCCAAGTCAGGAGCACTATTTTCACTGGATCTGGATTCAAGTAAATACAGAGGTTGTAAAATAAGTTTAATTTTTCAATGTTTTCAGGTTTGACACTCTGCCTCAGGAAGACAATCATGTTTCTCAGAAGTGCTCTGCTGGGAATTACTCTTTTTGGCATACTCTGGACAGAAACGACTCTGGCTGGCTCTAGTTTTTTAAGCCCTGAATATAAAAGAATACAGGTAAAAAAATTCAGAAGAATACTTTCTCAAGATTATCCTCCTCTATAAATCCTTAAAACCAATATTCTTTGCAGCATTTACAGAAGCTTTTAGAAGATATAGTTTCTAGAAGAGGAAGGAGTAATACCAGAGAACTTCTATAACAAACCATTAGCACTGTATTCATACTGTGAGAGTACGTATCTAATCTCGTTCACCAAGAATTAATAACCTGAAAAAGAGAATAAGTGAAGAGAAAGCATTCATTTAAATATTTTGTTGCATTTTCTGTGGAAATTAGTGGTGAGGTGCTTGTTCTTTAATGAACCCTTAAACTGAATACTTATTAAAGTGAAGGCAGCAATAGTAGTACAATTACGATAGACCTACGTATCCTACACACGTAAATGTGGGATCCCTTCAGCTAGTCTGCTGCATCTGTGTTAACTATAGGTTCTAATTTCCCCACTACAGACTAGTTTGATTATGGAAAGAATATATAGATATTATTTTACTTGCTTTCTAGCAACAAAGGGATCCCAAAAAACCCACAGCACAATTACACCGTCGAGGCACAGAAGGCTTTTGGGATGCAGATGAAGCAGTGGCAGAAGATGACAGAAACAGTGTTGAAATTAAGGTTTGTATTTATTCTTCTTGCTCACATACAAGTTTAAGGAGTGGGGTTGGGTAACAATTTCTGTCACAGGCGGAAGTAAAAATTAAAACTACAATCATATTTAACTTGAAACACGAATAGGAAAGGGCACATGAAAACTGCTGGCATTGATGGCATGAAATTTAAAATCACCTGCAGTAATTCAGATCACAATCTCCTATATAGGATTCATTTATATTTCAGAACTAACATGTAATAATGCGGGTTTCTTGTAAAGTTTTCTTTCCACCCACTTATTGTGCAGCTTGGTCTGCAGTAACTGTACTCCCTGTTCCTGAGATTTTGATGACATGGAATAACTTGTTATACCTCTTGCGTGTCATCATTCCCATGAATA